TTACATTGTCCAACAGGTTTTTCCAGATGACAATCCTCTGTTCAGAATGTGTTGTTACAGAAATTGAAATGAAGCATAGTGGAAAAAGAACCACAACAAAGAGACTGATGTTGTCACGCTATTTAATGACAATAAAATAAATGCTCTGAGTAAAACCACCCATCGTTATGTTTTTATCTAGTAGCCAGGTGCAAAAGGAGGTGGATTTAGGTACTCCAGCGGTAATTCTCTATCTGCAAAGTTGGGAATCCCATCAGATGCCCGACGGCCAACATTTGTGGATTTTTCAGGTAACTCCTGATAGTAATTTTCCTCCAGTTGTTTAGGGTTCATGTTACTGCTCTCCAAAGCAGGAAAAGATGCATTTTCCTGACACGCATTTTCTTGAGCGATCTCCTCATACATGTGGTCCTTGGAGCGGTTCTTTTTAAGCTTTTTCTTAATTTGTGCCAGGCCCATGACCACCGGTTTCAATGGTTGTTGGTTTTTCTGATGGGTACGGCCTTCAACAGGTCTGTCGGGTGGGATTTGATGTCTGTCAGAGCTTACCAGTGTCAACCCTTGTGATCTGTCAGCCTCTGCGGTGGCTTGCTGGCGATTTGGCAAGCATGCTCTGGGCGGTAACTGTGGTGGAGTGTCAGCTGTGGTGGCGTCATTTGGTGGTTTGGACATAAATATTGTTCTAGGCTTTAGAATAGGCTTTGTTTGCTGATCCTGAATTTAAAAAATCCATTATTAGCCATTAAACAACCTGTTCCTTAAAGCACAATCACATAACTGTCCTTTTAAATGAACAGTTCAGGCGAAAATGTACTCACCCTCAGGCCATCCGAGATGTAGATGAGTTTGTTTTGAACAGACTTGGAGAAATTTAGCATTACATCACTTGCTCACTAATGGATCCTCTGCAGTGAATGGGTGCCGTCAGAATGAGAGTTTCTTACAAACATGCAGATTTTCACATTACAAGATGTTAATTGATGGACTGGAGTCATGTGGATTACTTGTGGATTATTGTGATGTTTTTATCAGCTGTTTGGACTCTCATTCTGACGGCACCCATTCACCGCAGAGGATCCTTTGGTGAGCAAGTGATGTAATCCTAAATTTCTCCAAATCTGTTATGAGGAAGAAGCAAACTCATCTACATCTTGAAAGGGCCTGAGGGTGAGTACATTTTCAGTAAATTTTCAATTTTGGGTGAGCTATTCTTTTAACTACAAGACAATTATATAATTTGTAATTTTATAAATATAATCACATAATCTGTTGATGCTGTATTACCGCGCTCTGTAGATTCAAAGAGCTCAATTCCATCTCCAAGCTGGGATACAGTCTCGCAGAAGGACTTGTAGGTAGCGTAAATGATTCGTTTTGGAGTGGCGAAGTGGGGTTGTGTTCAGAGATATTTGAATGAGCTGTATGTGTTGGAGCTGAACAATTTATCCATTCAACCTGTCCAGGGTTTACATCTTTCTTTTGAGGAAACAACAACTCAGCGTAGTTATTTTTGCCACCCTGCATACAAATGAGACCATAAAAAAAGACCAGACATACAAAGATAACGATTAATGTTGATGGTGAAAAAACATTGACTCTTTTCCCTCTTTCCCCTATACTATTTAACAATGCAAAAGTGTACAAAACTTAATATTATATAACTTTATATAATTTTTTGTGATGTCAAAATCTTTCTAAATGTTATAAGAGACTGGGACTATACTTCTAGGTATTTCTAATAGATATTTTTATAATGTATTATTACGTTATTGTGTAACTCTATACCTGTTCGCAGGCCACAGTGAGCAAGTCATTGTAGGGGAGAATGGGGTTTCTGCGATGAAAGGCCACCAAGTCATGGAGGGAGCAGAAACGTGTCTTTTCTCCCACTATAATATACTGGTTATCTGGCAAGACGTCAATCATGAAGTGTCTGCAGCGATCTTCAGCTCTAGGAGAAAGATTTATAGGTGACCCTTTGATTCGTGGACTCATTCATGTACAGTACTTGTGAATCAAACTTCCTTATAGTGAAGTTTATTTACTGACAACAATGGTCACATTGAAACAGACTTACCGATAAGATAATGTATAACCCACCCTACTCTCGCTAACACGAATGAGGAAGTAACCAGGAGGTTTGCACATCAGCATATCCTCTGCAGCCCTACAATAAAGAAGTATTTTATCTGACAGGTATCAGTAACCTGATTTTCTGCTCTGTGATGTCATTGTGTTCATGATAAGACATAGTCTAAGCATTCATGCTTAGTTTTGTGACATAATATAGTATTCGATCCATTACTTCCTGGATATTATTCCATGGAACCATTCTGGAACAATCCCATTCTTCAAAATGCAGCTGCGCTGGAATTCAGTGAACCAGTCGAATGCTGCATTACTGCTGTCATGTGGTAAAGGCGCAGCCATGACATCCAGTGTGTCCTAAATGCACAAATAATTTGATGGTAAAATGTACATTTTTAACAAAATGAATATAGGCCAATGACAGACTTACCGATAAGATAATGTATAACCCACCCTACTCTCGCTAACACGAATGAGGAAGTAACCAGGAGGTTTGCACATCAGCATATCCTCTGCAGCCCTACAATAAAGAAGTATTTTATCTGACAGGTACCAGTAACCTGATTTTCTGCTCTGTGATGTCATTGTGTTCATGATAAGACATAGTCTAAGCATTCATGCTTAGTTTTGTGACATAATATAATATTCGATCCATTACTTCCTGGATATTATTCCATGGAACCATTCTGGAACAATCCCATTCTTCAAAATGCAGCTGCGCTGGAATTCAGTGAACCAGTCGAATGCTGCATTACTGCTGTCATGTGGTAAAGGCGCAGCCATGACATCCAGTGTGTCCTAAATGCACAAATAATTTGATGGTAAAATGTACATTTTTAACAAAATGAATATAGGCCAATGACATTCATTTTGTGTCCCAAATTATTTTAAAATACATTAAAATACTATTCATTCAGACAATGACTTACATACACCACTTCTATGATGAACATGTGTTCAACATTTAAATTAAAATCCTTTTCTTTTCTTTTTTTAATCTATGTGAACTCTCCAGAGATTAGAATAAACAATAAAGTGTCAACAGATATAAATAAATAAGTAAATAAATAAATAACTACGTACATGCATACATAAGGATTAAATGTTAAATTAAATTAAATGAAAGCGGAACATATATCACATATAGGAAGTTATAGATATTTAAAATCTGTCAAACTGATCAGTAGTTTAATGAGTCACAAAATCTAGATTACTCACTCTTAAATGACCAAACTAGTTTAATGTTGATTTACCAAAAATGGAAGTTCCATTACTTTTAGCGCGCTTATTTGCTTATATTTAAACATTACAGTCTATAATCTACGTAATACATAGTTGACGTAAAGGTGTTTTAAAAAGACTGCCACTAATATAAACAATAATACATAGAAAAATGTAATGTTTTCATAACGCGGTACTCACCTGGCGAGGCACACGGTACAGTGACGGCAGCTGACGTGACCTCCCCTGTTAAAAGTGTTGTGTTGGGTGTGGTTTAAACAAAAGGTCAACGACACATTTCAGATCATGAACTATTAATATCTAACGCTTTATACTTTAAGTCATCAGCCGGTGTCTGGTAAAAACATATTAATCAGTTTACAGACGAGTACAGTTGATTTGTGCGCGGGGCATAGTATGGCGTTTGACTTGATATAATGAATATTAATTACGTCCTGTTCCCTTTCCTGGATCATCCAGTAACACAGCCTAATTAATATTCATTGCGCAAGTCATTCAGCGAATCAGGAAAGCCTGCTCGACATAACGTAATCAATGTTAATTAGCCCGGACTTCCCGCTAGTTGTCCTACGCACGTTTAACCTTTGCCTCTCAGCAAATCAGGTAGGTGTGCTCGAAGAACATCACGTGACTTCATTAATATGTATGAGCAAAACCTTCGCTGTGGTGGGATCCGTATGTTCACCTAATATACAGTTCAGAATGGTTCAAATATTATTTTTTTGTCAGGTGGTCATATACTGATACTCATTTACTGTATCAAGTACCACTCTTGTGTGAAATGTTTCTCCCAGGCACCGCAGGAGAAATAGGCAGAAACGAGTCAACTTTAAGCATATTGAAAGTCTGTAAAAATATGAAGCTTATCATTCATGTAATTGGACTGCTCTGGACAATAATCAAACACAAACAGGCTTTTTATAAAAATGTATTACACAGAAAGTGGAAAAGAAACGTTTGAGGCATTTTGAAAATACTCATTTGACAGGAAAAAAGCAACAACGCATTCACAGAAATTCTAGGGAAGAGCTAATATTTCTTTGGTCTTTATTTGGTCCCCATTATGTTGTGGTTCCACAAAATTATTCAGGTACTTTTAAATATGCCATGGTACTGTGTGCATGTCAAAAATACCATCGTATTATCAATGGAGGAATGTACTGCTGCAGTGCATCACGTGGCCAGCAGATGGAGCGCATGATGTACATATGAGCAACACTGCAATGAAAGCACCATCTTTGACGTCTTCATCTGACCGGAATGCGCAACTTCAAGTGAATTTCTGCTCAGCATATTAACATATTCACTTTCCATGCGGTATGACATTTATTAAACTACTTATAACGTTGTTTTAGTGGGAAAACTCGGCACCTCAGGTTTTTTGGCTATTTTTGGAAGTAGCGATATCGAGCCAACTTGGATAAAAGCGCAAAAGAAATATCTCCGAAAAATTAAATTATTAGCCTATTCTGTGAGAAAATAGGGCTCAATAGATTGCGAGTTGGAATGAAGGAGTGTATTTGTGGAATGTTGCAAGATGGACGTCGTTCTCTCTCATCGTCTCTCTTATAAGCTGTTGAGCTCCTGAAGCGTCTGATCCAGCACTTGATGCATTCCGAGGTTTTCTTCTTTTGCAGTAGATAATTTTTCTAAAAGCAAAAATGAAAATAACTAGTTAGACCCTACTGCTGTAAATATGTATACTGTACACACGTGAAAATAGGCCTACAGTCTTAGTTTAGTGCACTTCATCCTCAACCACACAATAGTGAAAAACGTAGAATTTTCATTTGCTTGCATTGAATGGTCAGTATGTTTGTAATAATATGAAATTAAAATGGCGTGTATGTCTAAAGAAGAACTTTTCTAATGTGAAGATTAGTAAAATATTCAATATTTGTAAAAAAAAAAAAAAAATTACATGAATACAGTAGTGGGAAATCAGAGCGGAATGTCACCTCACCTTTGTGGACATCAGAATATTATATGTAAGAGAGGAGCAGGAAACTTAAGAATGTTTAATAGATTTTTTTTTTATATTACATTTAAAAATATTACCGAGTTGAGAGCTGGGCTAAGCTGAGCATGTTGTTATTTAGTTACTGAGTCTGATATTGTTTTTGTGTAAAGATACTTTTTCAGAAATGAATTTCCATGACCAATGCATATCCACGACCTTTCCAGTTGTTTGTGATTAATGGGTAATAATTAAAAAATATATATTTAATTCAGGCAGATTCACTAATGAATCATTCAGACAAATTTGTCAACGAATTTGAACATTGGAACACTGGATTCGAGAACAATTCGCTCACAAATCGCTACGTCTTGCAAGTAAAATATTTCATCTAGGTTTAAAAATTCCTCATATTTCAAGGATTTTCATCACTGTAGGGACCCTTCCCAATATTCAAAACGAATCATTAACAATTAAAACAGAAGAATGACAGGCTGAAATGAAACAACAGGAGTGTTTTATTGAAACTAGCGAAGGCACATTGAAGAAAATGAAGCAAACGTGAAGAAAGTGTCTAGAAATCTGAGATAGCAGGAGGTGCAGTAGAGCGGGACAGAGATGGATCTACAGGGAGGTCATGTCATTTAGAGCATGGTCCAGCTCCTCAGAGATGGCTTTATACTTCAGCTTCTGAGCATAGAGTTCATCTGAAGATTGGCAGGAAAAACAGGAAAGCGAAGGATGAGAAGCAGCAATGGACAGAAACCAAATGAAAAAGAGAAAGACAAAAAGTTAATGGATATATGAAGACTAAACCTGCTATGAAGATCATGTTCTACCAGGAACAATATAAGAAAATCATGTGCAACCAACAATGACTGTAAATTTCCATCTGGCCCAGAGAAGATATGCTCCCTAGTTACTTTTACTAGTCATATATACTTTTAATAAGAAAATGCAGAGTTTGGTCTCATAAAGAGTTGACTTTGCGCTGTAAGAAACAGACATACTTAATTTCTCTTGGGACAGAAGCTATACCAGGCTTGTTCAAACCGATTCCATATACTGAGCCGAATATATCATCTTCCAGTGAAAGGTTCAAGCAGCTGAAACATGAGCTTGCCGGAACTCTGACAAAATTACTCTAAAACAATATGGTGTTGTGTGTTTCAAAAGATTGTATGGCCCTTAAACAGACGGGGAGCATGACCCGCCTGTGACCTGTAAAATCCCATCCACGCAAGACTTTTCAATGTGTCCTGCTTCGCCACTGGTCATTTCTGAAGGTGAAAAGTTCATTTAGCCACTTCCTTACCTTCACTTTAGTTTTCATAAGAACAGTTTAGTGTGTAGTGTTGCTTGCCAAATCAAACTATAGTCAAAAATTACCCTTTTGAAAAAGTTGTTAGCTGCATCATAGTTTACAAATAAAATATAGTTAAGTATATTAAATATATTTAGGAGTAAAATATATTTTCATTTATGTTCTTTCCATCTGTACCAGTTAATTCTGACTGAATGAAACCATTTGCAAAAAACGAACCTCCCAAACCAATCGAATATAGCTTTTGAATCAGTTCATTCCATCATAATGAAGTGATTCACTAAAATGGACCACCCAAATAAATCAAATCTAGTTTTTGAACTAGTAATTTTTTCTGAGTGAAGCGGTTCACTAAAACAGACCACCCAAACCAATCAAGTTTTGTTTATGAATCAGTTAGCTGCTTCTAAACAAAGCCATTTGTACAACTGCCCAAACCAAACCAATCAAACTAAAATGAATCATCTTTCCCTATGTTTTTTGTTGTGCTAATCTCAATTTACTGGAGAAAATATCTCAATCCTGGAAAAGTAACACTGCTTTGAAAACAGCTACTGTGAATCTTTACGAACAAGTTCACTGAAATAAACTATTTGAACAAAGTAATTTACTTCAGCAAATCATCCGAACGAACAGATGCACTGGAAGTCATCAACATGTTGTCATGCTACACGGCTACAACAGTAGTCATTGCTAATTACTGGAAAAGCTACAATACAGTGTTTTGAAAACAGCTACTTGCACTTCTACAAAATGTAGTTACGCAGACTCTCTATGTTCATTTAGTTACTCCCCAGTATTGCTAAACAGTTTCAGTTGAACTTTTGGCTCCACTGTAAACTTGTTTAAAAAGAACTCCGTTAAAACAGATTACTGTGTTCGTACCTTCCAGGTCATCGATGGATTTTTCCAGTTTGGCCACTGTCCTCTCTGCAAACTCTGCGCGGGTCTCGGCCTGAAAAAACAATAGGGACGTAGAAAAAAGACATTTGGGGGTGAAAAAGGGCAGCTTATCTTTGACCCTTGTCTCATTTATTGCCGCATTTACCTCCTTCAGCTTGTCACTAAGAACTTTAATTTCCTCTTCATACTTGTCTTCTTTTTCTGAGTACTGAAACATGCAAACAAAGACAAGCAAATATATTTCATTTTCTGTCAGCATTGAATAAACTCTGTATTGTCCTTAGAGCTATTGTGTTGTGAGAACTTTAACCGTAAATGACTGTGTTTTAGTTTCAAAGCAATTATCAGGCTCTGAAGTCGAGCGATGATTATTATAGAGGTTTGAAATTGTGACTTTGTGAACATTTACAGATAAAAGAAAGATGTTGACTTACTTTCTCTGCCTGAGCCTCTAGGGATTTAAGGTTGTTGGTAACGTTTTTCAATTCCTCCTCCAAATCACTAGCTTTGCTGGAAGTGTTTGAGAAGAAAACAATGTTTTAACTGGTCAACCAACAAACATTCCCATCTTAGTCTACTTAAAGTGTGAGACCAAAAGTGTGAGAATAGGCATACCATTCAGCGACTTCGGCTCTCTCCTCAGCTCGCTCCAGCTCCCCCTCGAGAATCACCAGTTTACGGGCCACCTGTAGCAAAGATGGCGTTCCGATAAAGAGCTTCAAACTTCACACATCTGGAAACGTTGTTTCTTCAGGCGCTTGTAACTAGGGTTGGGCCGATAGACGATGCCATCGTCCATCGCCGATGGCTGACAGCCATCACTATGTTAAGCTGACATCGTGATTCCTGCCCCCCACACCCCCCCTCTCCCGCAATCCGCCGCATCCCAGTTCCGTGTTCGGAAAGGAAACCGAACAACAGTTACTACGGAAAACCTAAAGGGAATAAATAGCCTACGAGATGGGAGGATAAAAAAATATTTCAATACTTTTTCTCGCAATTATATCGTTGGGTAAGTATAGGCAACTGTATATAAATTGCTGGCATCAGGGAGCCACTATTGAAACCGCTTTTGATTGCGCGCTCTTATTTTACTTTCACTTTCACTTTTGAGATTCGTGATCACAAGGACTCTATACTATGGAGCGGCAGTACTTACCACACATTTGACAAGATTAGATGTTTGTCATTGGTGCTCAGGATCTGCAAATCATTCGCCATCGTCCTATCAGACATTTCTCCTTACTCTGTGTATGTGGTAAGTGAACTTTCATGTACTATAATGCAACAGGCTACCGCTAGCAAGCGGCTAACCTTTTAGTGGCTCTGTATAACGCATTATTTGTTTCACGCTTCGGGCACTTCACTGTAGACATCGTCCGATGCCAATTTGGTAGACATCGTCCAACCCTACTTGTAACTCACCTCTTCGTATTTGCGGTCGGCCTCCTCGGCGATGTGTTTGGCCTCCTTCAGCTGCATCTCCTGGATCTCCATCTTCTCCTCGTCCTTCATGGCACGGTTCTCGATTACCTTCATGCCTCTGGAGGTGAAACAAGCTGTTAGTTATTAGGTCATCAATAGGAGATGTTATTGATGACCTCTTCAGTTTATATGCTGCAGATAAAAAAAAAATGGTTGAGCTTTATTTCATAATCAACAGCATTCCCATGGTAATGAAATCTGGAAATGGGAACTGACCAATGAATTTCCATGAGGTTTCCAGTTGTTTGTGATTACTGTATATGATTTTTTTTTTTTTTTTAACATTGATTCAGACAGATTTGCTAATGAATCATTCAAAACAATTTGTGAACCAGTTTGAACAATGCATGGGAACATCATGGAACATTGTGATTGCAAGGAATTTCTGAAAATTCATGGAAAATTTCCTTTTAGCTCAGTTCTGAAATATTTAGTAATAATATTTTTAGTTCTTAATATTTATTTAAATATTAAATGAATATTTTAAATAGTTTTTAAATGTTAAAAAATATATATATAAATCATAAAAGGTGGAAACCATGAATAAAACAGCCAATAAGTCTGTTTCCACAGGTAAAACCCTCTTAGGTCTTCACTCGAGAGAACCATGTAGTTTGTACCCAAAGCAACACAGCAATTCATTCCTTCCACCGTTATTTATAAATTAAAGGTTTCCATTGACCTCTCGCTCCCGTCTGCTGCTTTCTCCGCCTCTTCCAGTTTCTGCAGGGCAGTTGCCAGTCTCTCCTGAGCCCGATCCAGTTCCTCTTCTACCAGCTGAATCCTGCGGTTCAGACCCGCCACATCACCCTCAGCCTGACGACAAAATAAGGTCAAAGGTTACTTATATACAATTATATATCGACTACAAAAATATGCATGTGGGATATAAAATAATGTTTTAATATTTTTTCATGTCTGTGGGGATTCTCCCGACGATGACATTATTTTTGTCAGTTTTTTTGCACAAAGCACAATCAACTGCAGCAGAAAAAACATTTTTACACCCTTTGCGACCACCACCACCCGTTGTGACTCAAACAAAGATTGGCCTCAGAACAAGCACAATAGTGCCTCTGTGACATTTCTCACAGCTAGACCGTCCAGTTATTGCACTGATAATTGCAGCTATAATTATGACAGATATCACCATGGCTCTCTCACAGTGCAGACGCTCAACTGAGCGAGTACGCAATTCTCTCAGAACGGTAGGAAAATCTCACAGCCAGGAAACTGCATCTAGGTTTGAAAGAGGAGACAGAATAACAGGACATAGGGAAAAAGTTAAAAAGAGCAAATCGTCCATTTTCTGATCGCATCTTTGTTTTGAGTCAGAGCTGCTATTACAGACTCTTTTTTTACTCTAATGTTTTCTATAAGGTCCAGTGGACTATTTGGAGCGTGAATGGTAGATCAAGGCTGACGTACCACACTTTATCCACCTTATTTTTCAATGCGGAAGTAAGCTGTTTTCTGTAAATGTGCGAGACTTCTGCTTCCTTAGCAGTAGGAAAATAACGAGAAGAATAACAAAGTGCAATAAACGGTAAAATTGTTTGTGCTACAAGCCAGTGTGTTTATATTTGTGCTACAAGCCAGTGTGTTTATAATTGAGACAATACATTAAAATAATATAGTAAGAAACACCAGTTTGCAATATCAAGCAGCAAAATGAGCTGTTTTGTATAGCTAAAACTAGCTGGAAATAGATGACACCGGAAGCCAGAGACATTAAATTTACAAATGGCCACGCCCACTCTTACGGGAAAAATAAGGTGAATGCCACACCAGTGATCAATGTGACTTTATGTCTAGAAATATAACTTTTTTCTCATAATAACAACTTTTTTCTCATAATTGTGACTTTACTGTATATCTCACATTACAACTTTATATCTCGCATTGACAATAACTTTCAAACCAACTGTAAATGTGACTAAAATAAAAGTTTTCATCTCGCAATTAAGGGAAATAAAGTTGGAATTGCGAGATAAAAAGTTATATTTCAAGATATAAAATATTTCTTGGAATGGTGACTTTTTTTCTCATAATTGCATCTTTTCACAGTTCACAATCACAATACAACTGTCTCACAATTATGAGAAATATAGTTGTAATTGCAGATATTATTTCAAGATATAACATATTTCTTGTAATTGCAAGTTTTTTCTCATAACTGTGACTTTGTATCTCAAAATAGGACTTTCTATTTTGCAATGTCTGAGTTTGTATCTTGCAATTTGACTTCATATCTCACAAAATGCCATTTAAATATGCTATTCAATATTGACATCAATAAAGAAGGGGTCAAATGAACATTTATTCACACATATTTAACCAAGACATCAATGGAGTAGGAAGCTGACCCCCTTTCGAATAAAAGAGAGCCAGAGAGGGGAGGAGAAAAATGCACAGGAAATGGACACACTCCACATCCTCTCCCCTCCCAAAATGCTCATTCAGTTCAGGGTCAGGATACTCCCTCATGAGCCATGCCCTTTCCTTAGTCACCGCGTTCCCTGGCTGCTTTAGATGCAAGCCATATACGGTAAAACAAGCTCTGGAGAATGCTAGTGGTGAAGTGCCCAAAAGATTTAAAAGCTAAAGAATAGCAAAAAAACACATGTTATCAAGAATTGTCTGGACGCAGCCTTGAACATTTGATCATGTACAAGACAAACCCAAACATCCATATGTGTGATATGAGATGGCGACATTCCCAGGGCCATTTAAACCACAGTGCACTCAGATCTTGTTAGAGCGTTCGTATCCAATTATACATTTAGGGTTGAAATGTGGGGGAATCACCTGTGACTGCTGTCGACTTCCTGAAGCACAGTACTATTGCACAGTATGTGACATTGAGCAAACACTGAGACAAACCCTATCAGTGTAATGACCTTTTTATGGGCTGATATTATTAAAATAAGGCCTATCGGATGAAAACGAACAGTGGAAATTAATTAAGGAAGTGAAGGAAATGAAGGCTCCTTTTCAAGTTCATATTAGAAACCTTACTGGTAAAAGAGCCAAAGAAAAAGTTGCAGATGCAAAATGATTGGTGATTTCTAACCAAATGCAAAGAAAAGCAGAAGATTGTTGGAGTATTGTAAAGTAAGTGACCACTTGTGTGACTAAACTTTAAAAAGATATACAAAAGAGGTCTTGATATCATTTCTAACACCATGGGAACCTGTCGATGCAAATTTGAGGAGCCTAATGGTTTTTGTGCAGACTTCACATATGTTTCTGGTCATGTTCTTGACTTTTAACCCCACTCTGAATTGACCTACATAAATTAGGGCCATCATGGAGAGGTCATTGGTCACGTCATGACCAAGTCCAGCAGCATTCTGTCACACTAAGGGTGGGAAAACTCCCACTTATTAAAGCAAAGCCAGCAAAATTTGTATGACAAACGTATGACTCGACACCACAAAAGGGAAAGAAGGAAGTTGATGTAGGAGAAGGATGTGACCAACAACCTCCCTAACATTTCTGAAGATCTCCATTAAATGTAAAAGTCAACAGGTCCTAGACAATAGACACACTATTGGTCTACAAACACTTGAAGAACAGGACTTTTCTTAAGCAGTGCCAGCTTCATGCATATCTGCATGGTCATCTGAATACGAAGAGGGTCCACAGGAAACTCCAGTGTGGAACAAGAGACAACATCCTGACTCAGTTCCTTTGGGAGCTCAGGATGGGACATCCTTTGGGTCTTTCTTGAATACAGCAAAATCTAATTCTTGAGTTCTATGAGAGATCTAACAATTCTTCATTGTCTAAACCAAAACAGGAGAGCATTCACATTTCCTAAAGTTCCATACCAGCGAGTTCAAATCAGACGAGATAGACTGAAGGGTTCTGGCTCCACACGGGATGGGTCAGAAATTTTCATAAAATGGAAATCCACCAAGGACTGTGGGGGAGGGAGGCTTCCTTGACAAGCATCTTCGCATCAAGGAAAACTTCCTGACATACAACATTTCGTCATATTATTCATCTAAAATAAGGGATTTTATTGAAAAATATTATTTAATACGTCCAAATGAACCTGATTACACCAACAGTTTAGGTAGAAATTGCTCCACCAAAAATGCAATAACTACCACTTTACTTTGTGTTTCTGTCTCATTGGAAGGATGGATTGATGGTTTTATAACTAAATACATTAGGTTACACCAACAAAAAAAAAAGTCAATTTTAATCCATTGGTTTAAGATGGGGTAGAAACATCTCATTAATAGATAGATAGATAGATAGATAGATTAATATTTAAGAATTGTAAATGTAAGCAGATAAATAATGCAACTGTGTTAGACTAGACAAAAACGTAGGCAATTGTTAGTTAAAACAAATAAATTGTTAATTGTGTAAATTAACTAAAACAACGGTAAAATGGTGTAATAAACCCGCATGAGAAAACACTGAGGCCTAACATCTGCCCAAAAGCAAATTTGGGGGTCGGACTGTCCCTTTGGACCAACGCCTTTCATTCCACAACCTCACGTCTGCTTCCAGGTCTCACTGTTCACCTAAACATACAATTATAGTCTTGAGAGGAGCCCGGGAGCTTTTTATAGACGCCTGCGTTCACAGAGGGAGCGCGTAGAAGAGTCCGAGAGTGTAAAGACGAGAAGCAAGAAGAAAGAAATAAGATTTGTCTCACTTTCTCCCGGAGCTCGCGCTCATTGTCCAGCTCGCGCTGTAGAACCAACGCTCGATCTTCTGCGTCATCCGCCTGCTGCTGCAAAGTCTGGATCTTTCTCTTCACTGCGTCCAAAGAAGTCACACCTGTCATTTTTGATACTTTACTATATTATATTTACTACTAAAAAACGAAACAAACTGTGGTCAGGAAAAATAAAACGATGCGAAAAAACAACGCTAAACTTTTCAAAAGGCTATAAAAAATAAATACATAAAATCCCAAAAATATATATATATAATCCCGAATATATGGATGTTACAAAAATAACGGAATGCTAATGAACTTGGATGGCCAGTGCAAAAAAAAAAAAGGAGTGAAATCGACACGAAATGTGCAATCCAAATTCTTCCCAGTCCGGATCAATACAAAACGGTTCTTCTTCGCTGGATGTTATTTCTGTCTCATGGAGTCATTGGAATGTGAGAGAATGTACGGAGGCAGAGCTTCTGCAGAAAAGTTTCAATGCAACTGTGGAAAAGTGAGGTCCCCGTGACGTCATTATGGGCGGGGCGCCCATTGAGTCAAAATTCAGTCTCATTTTATGTTAATTACGTTTTTGTATAAAGTTTGACAACTCTAAACCATAGAAAGTAGTACTATTTTGTTTTATATTTACTCGTATTTTGTTAATATTTTAAATATTTGAATTACTTCAAACTACACTGTAAAATCATTTTTTAACAGAAATGTAATGTGCAAATACCTTAAAATGACCACAATTAATTTCTTAATTCTATAGACGTTTCAAAAACTGTATGTTTAATAGCTAAGGGGTCACATAAAAATCATGTTATACACCTTGATTTTAGCTGTTATGATTTTAATTAAGTTATATTATAACATCTTATAAATAACTTAACATCATCTTGTGTCCCTCTTGGCAGTTTTTCGAGGCCCCTTATTTGAGAAATAGAAGAGTTATTTCTACCTGACCTGTCCATTAAAAATACTTTAGCTGATGTAACTTAATGTATTCAGATTGATTCAATCATTTCAAATAATATTTTTAAATAAGATAAGGTTTTAGATTTTCACATTTTTACAGCATATCAAAAAATATCTTACACTGCAAAATGTTTTTTTTTTTTCCTTAATTTGTCAATCATTTGATTTTCATTTCAATTCTAAAAATTAAAATTCAAAGTAGTCAACAGGTATGATGCATTTCTCACTGCAGATTGTGGCTTTGCCACCACTTTGAGTTCACTTGCTAATTCAACACAGCAATCAAACGCAATTTTTTAATTACATCCCCCACAATTAAATCGTCCACTCTTGACGTTACACACCATTTCATGTGTGACACACTTTCCTCAGAAGTGTGCTTTTGTTCTAAAGACGAGCCAGCGATCTCAGAGCATTGATTTCATTAGTCACAGGAGCGTGGCCCTCTGTGTTTGCTTTCGCTACATTCTTGGAATTCCTGGGCTGCTACATGGCAACCGAAGTCCCAGTCTCCCCTGCTGTTCACTGACTTATCAGTAACAGGCCTTGAAAATCCCTTGCTCATTGAGAGTATCTTACCTACTTCTTTGGCGTTGCGAATGCAGATGTATAATTCGTTTACAGTTTCCTCTAATGCATGACATGTGGTAGACTTGTCTGGAGCACATTTTCAGGGCACTGCTCCAAGGAACTCAAAATGTGTTTGTTATCCCCAGTTTCAGGCCTCTCAGTCTGCCTAAAGAAAACTAGAACATTCCACAGGAAATGAATCTTACTCAAAAATGCATTTGTCCTCTTATTGAATAAAGTTTGGTGTCACAGTGTGTCTTGTAGACGTTTTTTGTGGTCAACGACAACATGAAGAACATCTGTCTTTAAATGGATTTACCCTCATGCAGGAATCATTAAGGACTGACAAACAACCGATTTGCCCCTCCTCAGCTTCCTTCTCAAACTATGCAGTCATTTCCTTTGAGGTCACATTGCGAGGAGTAACCCGAGCTTATCAGAGCAGTGGACAGGATGGACCACTTCAGGACCATGTGTGATTACGGCAATTTTCTCACTCGTCCCAAGGCCAAAAACATTTCTACAGGTGAAACACGTTGTGAAAAAAATGGTCTTGTCTGAATCAGGAGAGAAACATGCACAGTCCAAAACAGTTATGAACAAACATAGGTGGATTTTTATGTGAAAGGGAATGGATGTTTTTACTGGTGGAAGTGTTAGGATTGTGGACGCATATTTTGTCCAGAAGCGATGGTTTAAAGTTAAAATGCCTTTTAATGATGAATTTGTTTCTTACAAACATGCAGCTTTTCATACATTGATGGACTGGAGTCATGTGGATTACATATGGATTATTGTGATGCTTTTATCAGCTGTTTGGACTCTCATTTTTACGGCGCCCATTCACTGCAGAGGATCCATTGGTGAGGAAGTGATGTAATGCTAAATCTCTCCAAATCTGTTCCCATGAACAAACAAACACATCTACATATTGGATGGCCTGTGGGTAAGCAAATTCTGAGCAAATATAAATTTTTTGGGTGAACTATTCCTTTAAAAGTGCCTAATTTGTGTGTTTAAACCTGAACATTATCTTTTCAGTGAGGGATGTGTCAGTTTCAAGGCATTACAGAAGTAAACCTGAGGAAAGAGGTATTTTAAAAGATTTATGTCTTGTGTCGACATGTTTTATTGAGGTAAAGCTTTTTATTGCCCTATAAATCCCCATTTGAAACACTTTGAAATGGTGCCGTGACCCTGAAATGGACCAGCTGGGATGAGAGCCGCAGTGACAGGAAGTGAAAGCATCATAACAAAGCCTAAATGTCTCAAGTTGTTTATCATAGAGGAATCATGACTGATTCTGTTTCATTGAAACCTAGCCTAAAGGAATGTGTCACTTACATCAGCAGCTTTTTTCTCAGACACTTCCAGTTTCTCTTGGGCATTTTTCAGGGCCTCTGAGTACTTGTCCAGTTCATCTTCAGTCTGTTTGAGCTTTTTCTGCAGGCCGACCAGTTCATCCTCCAGCTGTATGAGGAAGAGTGAGTTAACATATCAGAGCACTGTACTCTACACATAACTTAGGGGTATATATCCCAGATGTCCAAACAAAAATCTGTCTGGAATGCGTATAGTAATATTGAGAGTATTATCAACAATTATCACCCATAATATTATCAAACATTTTTATAGCAAAATAACTGTAATAAGAAAAATGTGAATAATGAGAAATATTAAACATATTTATAGTGCATAATATTATTTAAAATATATATTTACATATTCATAATATATACAGTACATAATGATTAAAAATAATATTTTATTGCTGTAGTCTAGTGGTTAAGGCATATACCCTAAACAAAAAAATATATAAATAAAAGTTTATGCATTTTATGATTTATATTTAATTATATGACCTTAATAATAAAAATAACAATAACCTTAATAATAATTGTAATATTCATCACACATAAGTTCTTTTTATTGTTGTAGTCTAACAACTTCATGCCAGAATAAAACAATAATATAATTGTAATAATAAATATTATTTTATTGCTGTATAGTGGTTGTTTTGCACTATGTCTAAATAAAGACAAAAAAAATACATGATTATTATTAATGGCATGTTTATGCATTTTATGTCACATATAATTAAAATCATGTTATTTATCATGTTTTTATTGGTGTCAAAGAGTACAACAATTAAATAATAATTAAAATAATCAAATAATAATAATTATTAATATTACCGTTGTTGTAAGTATTATTAATATTACCGTTGTTGTAATTATTATTAATTTAAATTAATTAATACATATCAGAAAAGGTTTTGGTAACCCATATTGAAATCATAGGCCTGCTCCCTGGACAGAAATAACTATATTTAATTTTAGTCTGAGGTAAACTTGTCATATGGCAGTAAGTGAGATAAACACTCACAAACACTTTGCTATCTGTGGCTATCAGTTTGGCTGGGTTCTTGTGTTTAAGAGAGCATCTGTTAATCTCCTGGGATTCCAGACAGCCTCACTTCTCTTGTCCACTTATAACTTTAAGGCTTGGTTTCACAGTCAGGGCTTAGACTAAGCCAGGTTTAGGCCATAGTTCAATTCAGACATTTAAGTATCTTTTATACATTTTCCTTAGAAAGAAAAAAAAAACATTACTGGTGTGCATCTTGAGACAAAACAATGGAACTGCTATATTTTAAAATATATCAGTGCAAGTTTCTTTCAGATAAAATAGCTCAGATATGCATTTTAGTCTGGGACTAGGCTTAAACCTTGTTTGTGAAACCAGGGGTAAGTGTTCTAAATGGTGTAAGACAGACATACTGATGGTTTGACTTACAACCAAATATTCATTAGGAGTAAGATTTCCACAGTGACTTTCTAGAGTACAGTATAATATATACAAATATATTTTTATTAAATACATACTATTATAACAATATCCCAATTTACAATTTTTTTACAGAATTTATTATTCGTGATTAATGTTAATTTAGAATTTATTAAATTATTGTTCTTTTTTGTTTTGTTCAACTAATGTTAACCTATACACCTTTTAACATGAAAAAGTATTAGTATATGAAAAAATACATTAACCAATAATAATAAATGCCTTTAAAGTATTGTTCATTGTCAGGTTTGATTTTTACAGATTTTTTATAGGATTCCTAGATAATTGTACATAATAGCCACTGCTGTGAAAGACCCAGAATTGCAGCGCAAATGCATACTTGGTTTTCAAGTATGAGGTCTTGGTTCCCTTCTCCTTGATAACAATCATACAGTACAGCCTTGACTGATGCTGTTGCCAGCTCTTTTGTTAGGACCTCTTACGTTTTTCACTTCACTCTCCTCTATCTGGATTCCTTGCTGAATTTCTAAGTTCTTACCTGCTTGCATTTGTCCTCAGCAGCTTTCTGTTCTGTCTCGGCCTGCTCAGCCCGGTCGATGGCATTCTCCTTGTCCAGTTTGAGCATCTGCATTTTCTTCTTGATGGCCTCCATGGTTGCAGGTTGATCTAGTGTCTGGGTTGAATATGAAATTCAAGGGAGCTACGAACGAAGTGCAGTTCTTGGTCCTTCAGTCGAAACTGTGGTCAGACTAATGGATGCAAGAGATTTAGGAGAGGAGAAGAATGCAGCTGATGCTGCCTGCAACCAAGAGCTGCCAGCAATGCTGGATCGCTTTACATAACCCAACCAAAGTCTAAACCCCCCCCAACCCCCAACTCCCCCACCCGTCTCCCTATCTAAACACTTGTGAGAAGGAATGGCCTGGACCAAACACAGTCAGAAGCACTTCTCCTTATTTGGAGTGGTGCATATTGTTTTTAAAAAAGGACCAAGTGATGGAGAGGTGAGCAGATAAGACCTGTGTCCAGATTTAACCCTGTAATTGTCCATAAGTGTGAAAGAACTTTCATTGCAATTCCTTGTTACACTCTTAAAAATACAGGTTCTTAGATATTGATGGCATGTTCTTCATTGTCCAAAAAGGTTCTTTTGATTATTAAAATGTTCTTCACACTAACAAAAAATTGTTTATTGTAGAACTAAAAAATGCTTCTTACATGGCATCACTGCAAAAAAACAAAACACTTTAGAACCTTTATTTTTTTTAGAAATGTAGGTGACATACATAAAAAATTAGGCTAATGATTTCATCCTAAGGCAAGTATCAATATTATTATTACTAACATTTATGGTTATGTACTTTTCAAAACCCCTAACTCTAAGCAGACATAAATAATACATCAAATTGTGCGGTTTGCTGAGAGAAGGCGCTATTATTTTCTTATTACGCAGCTCTCTGGAATACTCGATTCTTATTGGTTAATCGCAGCATTCTGCGATAAGATATTCATAGTATTCACTGTTGTTCATGGCAACGCTTATTCAAACTACTCAACGCAATTGGTGTCATCTTGTGTCTCAGTTACCGATTGTACTGAAAATGACCTCGGGGCATTTAAGACAACATTTGTCTTGTTACTAGGCCGATCATTTTGTACATTGGAATGGACTTTTTTTTTCTTAGCAGAAGCTTTAGTATAAAATTCGAAAATAATTTCAATTCAAATCAATATTACGTCCACTTATTTATTTTTTTTATTCTGTGAGTAACTTATTTGTAATTTTAATCTACTGTCTAATAAAATGTCCAGAAATCCCATAGGTACACAGAAACTTGGATGTGGGCAATTATAAATTGGGTAAGAAGCAACCACCACAGCAATGCACAAAACCCCTGTCAGAACCATAGACTGTATAAAAACAGGTCAGAACGCATCTGCAACCCTATATCAAATCTCTGGCAACCACTGAAAATTTAACATTAAATAAATAATATTGAGATCTGTATAGAAGTAAATCTTCAAATCCAAAGGAGGAGAAATTTTTTTTTTTTAAAGTAAATGGAAAAAAAATCTAAGAGATAATTTAGTACGAGGGTTAATTATACCTAAAGCAAACACATTTCTTTCTATTCATTTCATACCTTGTTCAATAAAGTCTGACATAAAGCAATTGCACACACTTGATTTAGAGTTGTTGAGACCCAAAGTGCTAAATGGTCAAACTGTTGGGTTGAACTGCTTTGGCACTAAAAACTAGAGCAGACGTGCAGAATGTAACACTCTTCTCTGACTGGCTCTCTTAACTGCTATTGGAAACCAGCCATTCTATTAGACATTTTGTGAACTACAACAAACAGTCATTTAGCTTCTTCTAAACTGGGTTTTCAGTTGTATTTTTGCTCATAAGCTCTCTTTAAGTTTAACTAAACAAATCCTTGAATTCCCGCCATGCCACAAACCACAACTTTAGCATCAAGGTGGTAAAACTGCGAGACATGTTCAGCATGTACCTCAGACATACTCGTCTGTCAAACAGATGATTCACTCTCCACAACACCTGGATGAACATTCTGAGAAGAGTGTCCAAAAACACCTGTGCTCCAGACAAACAGCTTCTCTGACGTCTGCCGCATGTCATCGTTACATATGACGTCATGGCAATACACAGATGTTTGGCACCTGTATACCCACTCCAGTGTGCTCTGTCTTTGTTGACCTCCCTAAGGCACTGTTGTGAGGAAAAGACGTAATGAGATTTGGCTTTCGTTCAGCATTACTTACTCATGCCTGCCCTGCTGAGCTTTAAGGATGAAGGGAAGTATGAACGTGTGTCACGTTATTGGGCAGTGCCCCATCGTGGAAGAAGTTTAACGGACCAGTACAACACAAAGTGTACTTTGTAAGATCAGCTAACAGACAAGAACATGCTATGAAAATTCTTTAATGCAGTAGAAAGCTAAAAATTAGAGCAATGTTCCAAGTAAAATACAGGTTAAACTCAAGATTGATTATCACATAAAATACTGTTCCTCAGTCCAAAAAAAAAAGCACTGGCAAACATTTTTAGTAATTATTTGATCTGTGCAGTTTAAAAAAGTTATTTTATAAAATGTAAAATTGTGTAAAAAAAAAATTTAATAAACGAGAAATGAAAAGTCTAAGTTGTGCCAGGACTACTCATTATTTATTGACAGAAAATAGTTGTAAAGATATCTTTTGGAAAGTGTAAACTTGTGTAAAAAAATTCTAATGTGTAAAGTCTAAATTGTCATATTGTCGCAGGACAACTCATTATTAAAGTTTACAGTTCAATATTTTTTTGTCAATAAATAGTTCATTTAGAAAGTGTAAAATTTGTAAAGAACATGTATAAAAGTGTAAAAAAAAAGAGTTAAAAAAACGTTGTGTAAATCATCTAAATCATCATTTTGTGGTGGGACTACCTATTATTTATTAACAAATAAATTATTATTTATTGATAAGAATGTAAAAAGTACTGCAAGTAAAAAGTCTTGTATTCTATGGTAACAGTAATTTTTAAGTCTTGTGGCTATACTTTCAAAACGGCATTTTAACTTTCATTACATTTACAATTTCCACTGAAAGTGGTTTACTGTAAACACAGTTCTGTTTTGCTAAAACTGAATTACTAGTCAACATTTTTTTCTGTAGTAATTAACATGCCTTAAATACTTTCCATAGGTATTAACATTCCTTTAAACTAAGCTTAATTTGATGGAATTTACATATGAGATCAATATGTACTAGTCTGCTATCATTACTAAAGCATGTTCACATGCCAAAAGGGAGTAAACCACACTAAACACAAAGGAAAAATGGCAAGAAGTGTCTCTTTTCTATGTACAATCAACTAACTAAAATGAGTACCACTAACTTAACTAAATTTTTCAGTTGCGTGACAGTAGCCCAGCTATGTTTTCAAAATAATATAGCTTTTCCTTTAACAAGCTATATTTTTAACAATTATCGTAGCATATAGCATGACAAAGTATTACGCACAAAGTCTGTTTTTTTCGCTACTAGTACTATTTGGCATAGAAGTAATGATTACGGATGTCACTAAAGCCAAGATGGTGTTCCATGTCATCTAATAAGTTTTATGTCACTAAAAATGAACATTCTGAAGAGAACTTCTTCAAAAGCTTGTCAAGCTACAGTTGTAAGGTAGCTTCTCCAAAACTAGCATGCACATATGCTTAACACATAAACACACACACACACAAATCATCATTTTGTGGTGGGACTACCTATTATTTATTAACAAATAAATTATTATTTATTGATAAGAATGTAAAAAGTACTGCAAGTAAAAAGTCTTGTATTCTATGGTAACAGTAATTTTTAAGTCTTGTGGCTATACTTTCAAAACGGCATTTTAACTTTCATTACATTTACAATTTCCACTGAAAGTGGTTTACTGTAAACACAGTTCTGTTTTGCTAAAACTGAATTACTAGTCAACATTTTTTTCTGTAGTAATTAACATGCCTTAAATACTTTCCATAGGTATTAACATTCCTTTAAACTAAGCTTAATTTGATGGAATTTACATATGAGATCAATATGTACTAGTCTGCTATCATTACTAAAGCATGTTCACATGCCAAAAGGGAGTAAACCACACTAAACACAAAGGAAAAATGGCAAGAAGTGTCTCTTTTCTATGTACAATCAACTAACTAAAACGAGTACCACTAACTTAACTAAATTTTTCAGTTGCGTGACAGTAGCCCAGCTATGTTTTCAAAATAATATAGCTTTTCCTTTAACAAGCTATATTTTTAACAATTATCGTAGCATATATAGCATGACAAAGTATTACGCACAAAGTCTGTTTTTTTCGCTACTAGTACTATTTGGCATAGAAGTAATGATTACAGATGTCACTAAAGCCAAGATGGTGTTCCATGTCATCTAATAAGTTTTATGTCACTAAAAATGAACATTCTGAAGAGAACTTCTTCAAAAGCTTGTCAAGCTACAGTTGTAAGGTAGCTTCTCCAAAACTAGCATGCACATATGCTTAACACATAAACACACACACACACACACACACTTATTTTAACTTCCCCCTCAACTGTTGATGTATTTGCATGCTTCTTTTAAGTGCAGAATGATCTGTTCTGTGGGAAATGCAGGTATTCAGCTGGAGATAAGACAAGAGGAGATGACTGAGGGAGTAATTGTGAGTGACTGAGAGAAGAAACAGACTCAGAGGCAGAATATCACAGGCCCCTCCCACAGGAAACCCTAGCTCAGCTCAGCCGGACCTTTTATGGTAAAAATTCCCCAATCCGCTGGCTGCCTGTTTTGGGAATAGCTGTTATAACCTAAACTATAACTCGATTTAAAGAAACAAGAGCACAGAAAGTGCAGCCACAAGTTTGATTTTAACAGTAGCAAAGAGAAAGATAGACAAAAACAGCCACATAGTAATAGTTGTGATCTCCTGTTATTTAAAAGTGATTAAAACGTGACAGGGTAAACATGAAAAACAACACTGCTATCTGTGATTATGTAGTTCACAATTCCATTGCTCACCAGTTTGCTTTACAAATCTGCCTTAGGTTTGGTATTAATTATAATTAAACATTACATTCGAGTTTAGCCTCAAACGTTCCCACATGCTAGTTCACATCAATAAAACACTTTAGTTTATTTGAAACGCTCTGTCACTAACAGTTATGCAAACATTGACGACTGATTCTAACCGCACTAGCAGAAACTAAAGTGCCCCCTTGTGGTAGCCTATATTAGGGTCTCTAGTTTGACCACAAACTGCTTTTCCATGTGTAAGAACTACGC